AGTTTACATGGGGACATGCACCATCGATGGAAGAGGCGAGAGTGACTTGCTGGTAGCGCCTTATGCAATGCAGATAAAGCGCGGGGAGAGGTATTTTTGTGTCCGCGAAGAAGGCCAACGTTGCGCGCGAGAAAAAGCATTGGGATCGCCCGATTCGAAAATGCATTCTGTGAGTTCGAGAAAGAAACTCTCACAGGCTGGCGCGCCCGGGCGGAATTCATAATTTCAGAAACACGTCCAATCGGCGAACGCTCGCGCTCCCTTGCAGGGCACGCGCGAGGCATCGACCTTGGGCGATCTCGACGTCGAAGCGTAGATTGCGCGGCGGCACGCAACGGCGCAGCCCTCGATGCGCGAAAACCCCGAGCAAGGAGCCCCCCCGGGGCCCATGAAAAATTTCCACACCCGGGCACCCAGGCACCCGGGCGTTCCGCCGAAATCGGCGCCGCAGCTAACACAACCATAAGAATCCGCTAGGACGCCTGCAGAGGCAAGCTCTGATAGGGGAATGTCAAGTTATCGTGGGAATTCCGGGGATGATGCATTTTTTATTGTACAGTTTTTCTGTATTTTTTCCAGGGATTGTGGGGCGGTGTTGTTTTTGCGCACGGCTTGCAATTTGCCGGAACCTCTGCCGTCCCTGTCAAAACCCACGGCGAAGTGACCGCGGGTCGTCCGCGCATGGCCCAGACTCAAGTGTGAAGTGCATGTTGTTTTTGTTGTTGCAAGGGGCGATGGGGGTGTCCAGCATTGCCACTGGTTTCGCCGTTCGGACGGGGGAGGGGGTGTATGTAAGTCGGGGGCAGTGTTCAAGCTACCCCCTGAAGGACGGCCACCTCACCCACCCACCACCTGAGTAGCACCCGAGTCACACTCAGCAGCAGCAAGAGCCGGCTGTGGATGGGCAGCAGGTGGGAACAGACACTGCCTCCAGGTGCGGGGCGCCCTCGGGGTGCGCCGCGCATGCCAGGTGCGCCAGGCGCCCTGGGGACCCAAGCGTGCCAGGAACGCCTGGTGCGCCAGATGCGCCGCGGGATCCGCATCCCCAGGGTGTGCCGCGTGCTGCACCCTCGCCAGGTGCGCCACGTGCCGCGGCGCGCACAGAGTGCATGGGCCGGGTGCGCCAGCACGCGTGGCAGCGCGCTTAGGGAGGCGCGTCGATGCCCCCGAGGCGAACGCGAATGTGTGCGGTGGCTGCGGGGCGGTCAGCACGGCGTGGCGCGCGCACCCGCACGCTTTCTGCGCCTGTTTTCGACTTTTCGACGGGAACGGTGAGCCCGCACACACACACAGACAGACAGACAGACAGACAGACAGACAGACAGACAGACAGACAGACAGACAGACAGACAGACAGACAGACACACACAGACACACACAGACACACACACAGACATACACACAGACATACACACATACAGACATACATACATACACACATACACATACACACATACACACACATACACACATACACATACACACATACACACACTTACACACACGGACACTTACACACACACACACACTTACACACACTCACACACACATTTACACACACTTAGACACACACACACACTTACACACACTTACACACACAAACACACACTCACACACACACTTACACACACACTTACACACACACACACTTACACACACGGACACTTACACACACACACACACTTACACACACTCACACACACATTTACACACACTTAGACACACACATTTACACACACACACACTTACACACACTTACACACACAACACACACACTCACACACACACTTACACACACACACTTACACACACACACACACTTACACACACACACACACTTACACACATACACACACTCACACACACTTACACACACACTTACACACACACTAACACACACCCACTTACACACTTACACACTCACACCCTTCCACACTTACACACTTACACACTTACACACTTACACACTTACACGCTTATACACTTACACATCTACACACTTACACACTTACACACTTACACACTTACACACTTACACGCACACTACACGCACACGCACACTTACACGCACACGCACAGTTACACGCACACTTACACGCACACGCACACTTACACGCACACGCACACTTACACGCACACGCACACTTACACGCACACGCACACTCACACGCTCACGCACACTTACACGCACACGCACACGCCCACGCACACTTACACGCACACTTACACGCACACGCTCACCCACACGCACACGCACACTTACGCGCACACGCACACCCACGCACACGCACACGCACACGCACACGCACACGCACACGCACACGCACACGCACACGCACACGCACACGCACACGCACACGCACACGCACACGCACACGCCCACGCACCGCGCCCGCGCGCGCGCACGCGCACGCGCACACGCACACGCACGCGCACGAGCACGCGCACGCGCACGCGCACGCGCACGCGCACGCGCACGCGCACGCTCACGCGCACGCGCACGCGCACGCGCACGGGCAGGGCACGCACGCACGCACGCACGCACGCACGCACGCGCGCGCACGCGCGCGCACACACACGCACACACGCACACACACGCACACACATGCACACACATGCACACACTCGCACACACGCACACACACGCACACGCACACACGCACACACGCACACACGCACACACACACACACACACACACGCACACACTCGCACACGCGCACACGCGCACACGCGCACACGCACACACGCACACACGCACACGCACACGCACACACGCACCACGCACACAAGCGCACACGCACACACGCACCACGCACACACGCGCACACGTGCACACGCGCACACGCGCATACGAGCACACGCGCACACGCGCACACGCACACACGCGCACACGCACACACGCGCACACGCACACGCACACGCACACACGCATACACGCACACGCACGCGCACACACACACACACACGCACACACACGCTTTTTTCGTTGGTGGTGTGGCTGATAGGGGTGATCGAAAGGCAAATTCCCTGGCGTGTCACGCACACACGCACACTCGCACACAAACGAGGCAGAAATATCCCAGTGCAACCCTACCTAGGAGTTGGAGCCCCTAGGTAAGCAGCATTAGTAGTAACAGTAAAGCTAAGCTAAAGTTAAGCTAAAACTAAGCTAAAGCTAAGCTACAGCTAAGCTAAAGCTAAGCTAAAGCTAAGCTAACGCTAAGGTAAAGCTAAGCTAATGCTAAGCTAAAGCTAAGCTGGCGCTAAGTTATAGCTAAGCTAAGGCTAAGCTAAAGCTAAGCTAAAGCTCAGCTAAAGCTAAGCTAAAGCTAAGCTGAAGCTCAGCTAAAGCTAAGCTAAAGCTAAGGGCGCATGCCCGGGGAACCGCGGGACGGATCCTTGGGGAACCGCCCGGGGCGTTTTACACTGCCCGGCCCTTTAAGCTTACACAGTAAGAACCCTTCTAGGCAAAGCCTAGGTAGGGAATGAATGGACCCCCCCAACCACCCCTGCCACATAACAATGCGAAGTGTTCGCGGGGCGCCCGCGCGGACCGGGCACGTTGCATTCACAGATGGCAGGTGTAGTAGATTTGCACACGTTGGGCAACATGGCATCCCTTCGCCATCCTTGCAAACAATCATAGACAGTGGTCGCGTGCGCCCGAACATGACCCAAATGTTGCCGCAGAATGTATGTTGTAATTCGGTTTGGCAGACATGGTGCGGGGGGGACGTTGGCATTGACCCTGCTTGGCGGTCAGTGCAGTGGGGGCGGGCTCGTGTTCTAGTAAGGAGAAGTAGTAAACACCTCCCCGAAGGGAAAGAAGGGGTTGCAATAAAGAAATCGCTAAACCACTCACGCCCTACAGGGCTGGCAAGATTCTTCACGCTTCGCGTGCCCACTCATGCCAATCTGGACACGATTCCAAGTGAATTTGCCGCGGGACGGGCGGCACAGTCAAAGCGCATAGTAAAGACGAGCGGTTGCCAAGTTTACCCGCGCATCCGTGCCCCATTCGGCCCATCCTTGGCAACTTTCGTTGGCCGGCCCCGTACGAGAAATACCAACATGGCCTTCCAAGGCCCTTGTTCCCTGACCGCACATCCTTTTGATGCGTTTGCACTGTAGGGAGAGCACCAGTGAAGCGGAGGGGGAAGACACTGGTCGATCCGACGCTGGGATCATCCCTGGCACCCCTCCAGCAATTGCCCATGTGAGGACTCGACGACAACGGCGCCGCAAACGACGACGACAACGACGACGACGAAGACCACGACGACGACGACGACGACGGCGACGGCGCACCTGGCCGTGAGGCCGCGCGCGCTCACACTGAGGGTTCTGCTTGGGGCCCTTTTCTCAGCATTTTCGGCAGCCTTCGGCCCGTTTTGGAGTTCTCGGGGTCAACGTTGCGGCTAGCTGACTGCAGCAAATCAGGAGTCGTTCGTCTGGCTCGCTCTCGGGACCTCGAACCGTTTTCTGTTGGGCCCCTCGTCGTGGCTTTCGTGGGGTTCTCTGGGGTGCATTACCCTCTTGGGCGATTCACAGCAAGAGAGCCCCAGGAGGACTCTTAGCGCCCCCCCCCAAGAGAAAGTTCCCAACAGGGCTCCAACGCAACCTAAAAGTAGCTTCAAAAGTGTACCAGAGCCCCCCTTCCGACCTTCAAATCGCAGGCTACGCCCACTGAGATTTGTCGTCCGTGCCACGTCCTTCTCTCCACCTTTCGAGGAGGCCACCGCGCCGAACTGTCAGACACCAGTCCGCAGGCTTGAGTGGTCCGGCGTTGGGGAGAGGGAGGGATAAACCCCTCTTGTGAGGGAGGAGAGGTTTTGAAGAAAGGATCTGCTAAACCAACCACGACCAGAGAGCTGTTGTGATGTTGTGTCGTGGACGCTTGCAGTACACAGCAGAAGCGCGACAGGAACTAGAGACAGGGAGGGATACAATAACACTGCAGCGCAGAAGTTCACAGCCTGGTGCCTCATGGGGGGGCCAGCATATTGTATCCTTCCAAAGTATTTTTGGTTCGAGGCCTTGCCGATTCTTGCAAGCGTTTGGTTCCATGCTTGTCCGCTTTCCTTTGTTCTCATGTTGTTACTTCCGCAAGCCGTACGCGCATTGCCGTTACATTCCTCACGCCAGCATTCTATCTTGACGCCAGCAGTCATCAGTTTGGCCATACTCGTTCGTTTCCGCCGCCCGTCACAACACTCTTGCATGAGGAATGCGTTCGCCCACTCCCGAGGATAGACCCTTGCGAACCATATTGTCCTCTCACGTGTTCGACGCATCGCAGTGGCGCCAGCCCTGCACATCGGTATTCCCGCGTCCTCAGGCGGCAGCACATGTGGTTGCCGCACGTGCTTGGTAGCGTAGCCAGTTGCGACAGCCAGGTAGGCACATCAGGGACAGTAGTGCAGATCTCTTGTTTCTTGCGCGCCCCCGTGTCTCGCAGAATATATGCTTATGCATATTGGAAGTACATCGTGGCCCTCTTCGAGGCGATCGAGTCAATTCCCGAAATGTGTGGGCGCAGTCGTACATCACTTGCTCCAACTCTCTGTTTTTCATCCCGGTACTGGTCATCGAGTCGACTCACATTCTTCCGAAGCCGTTTGGGCTCAAGCCGTTTTTGCCCAAGCGCCCCGAACAGTCCACATCTCCGCTACCGTTTCAGAGCACCGCGTTCCCGACATGTTCGGGCGTTTTCTCGGCGCAGCTGCTATCGCCGCAGTCAGTGGTCTGCAGGTCACGGACCCGCAGGAGCCTACGCAGTTGATGGGTTCCCGCGTCGTGTCCGCACTGGACCCTGAGTTGGTCAACACGCTAGGCGAGAAGTTCCACGTGACTCTGCCTGGAGAATGGAATTTGATTGGAATTCCGAGGGGGTTCGACCCGTCGAATACAGAAGCTGCGGACTTGGTTGTCAATGCGACTATTGAGGATGTGGGGCTCAAAGATTGCGACGACCTCCTCATCCGGAAAGTGTCGATCTTCGGGCAGAAGTTGGGGAGCAATATCACTTCTCTGGAGTTTTCGGTCGGCAGCGATGTCTTCAACGAAACTGCCACTATGGGGCTGATCGTCAACACACCGTCGGGGTCTACTAATGCCACCGCTGATCCGGCAGCTTTCGTCCAGCTGGTGCCGCAATGCCAGATCACGCGTCCTCGCGGCACCATCGCGGAGCCCACGAAGAACAGTTTCCGCAAGCGCACGAAGCTCTTCACCGCGGTGTGTTCCTTGGAGAATGGAGCGAACGTGATCACCGTGACTTGGTCGACCGTGTGGCGCGGATTTAACGCTGGAAACGTGTATTACCAAAACGATATGGAGGTGTATGTTTCGGGGGTTGGGGACGATCCCGCAGGTCTTCTTGGCCCCGACGATCACACGGAGGCTAGCAGGATGGTCTCTGGGTGTTTCAAGCCGCAGCCCGTGGGCGGGCCTTTCCAGAGTAGGAAGAATGCTTGACTAGACGCTTGATACATTATCTTTGATCACGGCGGCGGTTGAGGCGGCCGACAGAGTGATTTTTGTTAGTCGGTGGAGCGCTTTGGCCTCCGCCGTCTTGACCGCTGGCGGGAAAGCGAACAAACATCGCAACACATAAAACATTAATCTTGGCGATGGGCCCAATCATATGTAGTTGTGAATACCGTCGTTGCGGGTATCGCCTTCGGGGTGGGGGATACGCATGCAAACGCCGCCACTGGGGCCTCCGGTGGAACTCCACATGGGGTCACGAAACGCTGTACTGGGCCGAGGAAACGCATGCGAGTCCAGCCACTGGGGCTTTCCGTGGAGCCATGGGGCCACAAAGCGCTGTACTGGGTCGGGGCGACGCATGCGAGTGCAGCCACTGGGGCCTTCGGTGGAGCTTTCTATTGGGCCACGAAGCGCTGTACTGGGTGGGGGTGACGCATGCGGGCGGTGCCACTCGGGCCTTCGGTGGGGCTCCAAATGAAGCCACGAAACGCTGTACTGGGTGGGGGTGACGCATGCGGGCGGTGCCAATGGGGCCTTCGGTAGAGCACCCTATGGGGCCACAGTCGCTGTACTGGGCGGGGGTGACGCATGCGGGCGGTGTTATTGGAGCCTCCAGTGGAGCTTCCTATGGGCCACGAACCGCTGTACTGGGTGGGGGTGACGCATGCGGGCGGTGCCACTGGGGCCGTCGGTGGAGCTCTCTCTGGGGCCGCGAAGCGCTGTGCTGGGTTGGTGTGCCGCATGCGGGCGGTGCCACTTGATGGGGCCGCGAACCGCTGTAGTGTCAGGGGGTGACGCATGCGGGCGGTGCCGCTGGGGTTTTTGGTGGGTTTTCTGATTGGGCACGATACGCTGTACTGGGTGGGGGTGACGCACGCGGGCGGTGCCACTGGGGCCTACGGTGGAGTTCCCTGAAGTGACACGAAACGTTGTGCTGGGTGGGGGTGACGCATGCGGGCAGCGTTACTGGAGCCTCCAGGGGAGCTTCCTATGGGCCCACGAACCGCTGTACTGGGTGGGGGTGACGCATGCGGGCGGTGCCACTGGGGCCTTCGGTGGAGCTCCCTATTGGGCCACGAAGCGCTGTACTGGGCCTGACGCATGCGGGCGGTGCCACTGTGGCCATCGGTGGGGCACCCTATGGGGCCACGAAGCGCTGTACTGGGCGGCGGTGGGTGATGATGCTGATGCTGATGATACTGGAGGAGGGAGGAGGACGGGTAGGAGGAGGGAGTGAGGGACGCGGAACGCTGTCTTTCCAAAGCTAGGACCTAACACCACAGCACGGCCGGGAACAAGTAGCAACACAAAAAAGCAACAACTCGCCTCACGCGATCGTGTTCGCAGGAGCACGTGGTTCTGCGCACGACTCCTCGGTCACGAAGTCCTGACATCCCCACTTCCCAACGAACGCCAACAGTTGCAATTGAAGCTGCGCTGTTTTCCAAGGCGCCAGTCGGCCCCCGTCGGCACGGTTCAGGCTTCCGACTGGCACCGTCCCCGTGGTCCTGGCACTTGTTTTCATGGTCTCTCGGTTTGGTTCGTTTCTTGCTTCGCGACCCGGCAGGTCCAGGACCGAGCGTTTCGCTTGTTGACGCAAGAATCTCCGAGAATCTGAGGTGTTGGTGGAAACCCCTCTCCGCGACACCAACCAGGGCTCGACCCCAACAGTGTGTTAGCGATCTCGTGGGCCATTTTCGTTTGGATGTTCGTTCTGCAGCAAAGGCGGAACGAATACCGAGGGAGGGACAACGAAACCAAACCGCGCACAGAAAGCACTGTTCAGGTCGAGCCTTGCCACCAGCGCCGCCGACGGAGGCAACCACGAGGACAGGATGATGAATTTGAACTTTGGCTTCCACGCCGACTGCCACCAGAAGTTCGGGCAGGACCCTCCCGCGCCCGCTCCTGGCACCGCTGCGGGCCGCCACCGCGCCCTCGCTGTGCGGAGCCGGCCTGCTGGCATCGGGGCCGGCACAGGTCGGATATCGTCAGGACCTTCGTGGGCGCTGGCAGCGACCGGGCCGTTTTAGTCACCGGTTCCGTCTTGCCGTTTCGGTTGCTGGATTTGGCGCGGTTCCTTTCCCGGTTCGCCGCCGTGTGTTTAGCTGGATGTGGTTCACGTTCCAGTTCGGTAGTTATTTTTGTGGTGTTGTCTTCGGTTGCCGTTTTTGACTGTCTCCATGTTCCAAGAGACTTTGTTTTCGAAAACGGTGAGAAAATGGACCTGCCGTTTCCGAGGCCCTCGGTCAGGACCCCGGGTAAGGAGCCGTCTGGTGATTGGGACCCGAAGCCCACAATGTGGAGCAGCATCCCTATACCAAGTGTGCCGTAGTTGGTGTTCCTTCGGGTGATCCGAGGTGGCCCAGCACTGGTTCCGGCCAGCAGGAAGGGCGGGCAGGGTCTGGGTTCGGCATGCGGTTTCGAGCTTTTCTGGCTCCTGGAGCCGTTTTCGGGCACAGGAACTGCAAAACGGAGCCGGGGTGCAAACTGCACCAGGTGGGTGCTGAAGCGGTCTGGGTGTCCGGTTTGGAGCGGAGTTGGCCTCCTCCACACTTCTTGACCGACCATCTGTGGGGAGAAACACATACAAAAAACACACACTGTGGGGAAAAACACGCACACACACACACTGTGGGGAAACACACACACACACACACTGTGGGGAAAACGCCCACACAGTGGGGAAAAACACACCGTGGGGAAAACACACACAATGTGTGTGTGTTTTTCTCCGCGGGCAGCCTCCAGCGGCGGAGGGTCTTTGTCGGCCCTCGGAGCCGAAGAGCTGTGCACCGTGCCGCGCGCTGCAGCCAGTTCTGAAGGGCGTCCAGGCATGGTACAGTCAACCCACACAGTAAGGTGGGAGAAACACACACACACACACACACACACACACACACACACACACACACACACTGTGGGAAAACACACACACACACTGTGGGAAAAGCGCGCACAGAGCCTGTTGGGAAAAAACGCACACCTAGCACAGAGCCTGTGTGTCTTTTCCCGCAGAGCCTGTGTGTGTTTGTCCCACAGAGCAACCTTCCCAAGGGTACCCTTGCATCCTTGCCCCATTCGGCCCATCCTCAGCGACGTCCGCTGGCCAGCCTCGTATAAAGAAAGACTTTTTCACGTGCGCCTCCGAGGCCCCCGTGCATCCTTGACGCGCGCTCTCTCATGAGGCGGGTTGGCTGTACGGTTCGCAGGCGCCGTTCTCGTACAGTCAAGTCAACGCGCCCAGCAGGGACGCGCGCCTTCATCTAGGGTACCCTTGTGTCCTTGCCTCTGAGGCTCGTCCTCGCCATTACCACTGGTCGCCCGCCGCCCTAGAAAACCCAACCTCGGCCTCCAAGGGTCCTGCGTCCTCATCACCCGTCCTTCATATACGTTTTGACTGTGCCCCCTCCATCCGCTCCGCGGCCACGGGAGACCGGGGGGGGGGTGTCGGCGGCCCGGGCGCCGACCGGCACGGCGAGGGGAAGCGGGGCCTTGTCGCGCCACCGCCGCGTGGGGCCGCTGCGGGCGCAGGCCGCCGACGGCGCCGCCGCCGCCCACGGCTTCCGTGTCGCAGGCAGCTGCGAAGGGCCTCGCTCGTCTATGCGGGCCCACCAGGGCATGATGTCATAACCTCCGACGAAGGCATCTATGCACCACCACCGTGCCAGGCCAGGGCCATTCTGGGCCCCACGACGGTGTATAGACCCTCTTGGCCTCGGCCAGGAGGGCGTATACACTGTCCTGGGGCCCAGGATGGCCCTGCCTTGGCACGGTGGTGGTGGTGGTGGTGTTTAGATGCCTTCTGCGAATAACCGTTTGTGGTCTGCACGAGATGTTCTTTAGAGCGATTCTGGCTGAGGCTATCTCGTCTCAATGCGTCGGGGTCAGGTTCTAGGAACGCTGCCGTTGTTCTTAGGACTCTTTGGGGTTCTAAAACAAAATTGTGGTAGGCCTATAGGCATGCTGGGGCGGTTGGTGCCTGTTCAAGTCTCAGTTCGGTCCCTAGTTTTCAGTGACCATAAGTGTCGAGTAGCGTCTGGTAATCAATGAGATGCAGTCAACCCGCATAGTAGGGATGAGCGAATCTTCCAAGGTTGCCATTGCATTCTTCCCCTTCGGCCCATCCTCAGCCACTTTCGCTGGCCGCGCCTCGCTCGAAAGGTGTCGACATGGCCTTCCAAGGCCCTTGCATCCCTACCGTGCGTCCTTATGATACGGGTTGACTGCAGCGCCGACTTGGCGTCGACTAGCGCTGGCCAGCGTCGATCGGCGCCGACTTTGCGTCGACCACCGTAGATCACCGTCGATTGCCGCCAGCCAGCGTGATGGCAGAGGAGGCTCTCCATGAGTTCTCCCTCTGACGCCTCCCTGTGGCCCACAGCCGCCCTCCGCGGCTGCCGCCGACGAGCGCCTGCACGGCCTCGGCGCCCTGCACGGCCTCGCGGCCGCGGCGGCGCCGCCGGCGCGAGGGGCAGCCGCGGCCACCGAGCGCGCCGGCAAGGCGCGGCTCCTCGGCTCGCAGGGTGCCTACTCGCAGACGCCCGAAAAAGCACACGTCTGCTTCGATGCGATTGCTCGTGGATCCCCCGCGGCGGATCCAGGCCACTTGCGAGCAGCTGCTCTGCGAGTAGTGGAGCGCGCTCGTCTACCCAGGACCACGCCGCTACCGCGCGCAGCGGGCGTCTCGGCGGCCCGCGGCAGGTAGGCTCCAGCGACGGAGCGGCCCGCTGCTCAGCGTCGCTTCGCCGGCTCCCATGTCCCAACTCCCCTCCCTGTCCTCCGAGGAGGCAAGGGTACCCATCCCTCTACCCTTCTGTCGTGTTCCCCATGCCCCAACTCCCATCCCTGCCCTCAGAGGAGGCAAAGGTACCCATACCTCTACCCCTCCGTCGTGTTCCCCATGTCCCCACTTCCATCCTTGTCCTTCGCGGAGGCAGAGGTACCCATACCTCTACCCTTCCGTCGTCTTCCCCATGCTCCCACTTCCTTCCTGTCCTCAGAGGAGGCAAAGGGTACCCATACCTCTACCCTTCCGTCGTGTTCCCCATGCCCCCACTCCCATCCCTGCCCTCAGATGAGAGGTACCCATACCTCTACCCTTCCGTCGTGTTCCCCACGTCCCCACTCCCATCCCTGTCCGCAGAGGAGGCAGAGGTACCCGTACCTCTACCCTTCCGTCGTGTTCCCCATGCCCCCACTTCCTTCCCTGTCCTCAGAGGAGGCAGAGGTACCCATACCTCTACCCTTCCGTCGTGTTCCCCATGTCCCCACTCCCATCCCTGTCCTCAGAGGAGGCAAGGGCACCCATACCTCTACCCTTCTGTCGTTTTCCCCCATATCCCCCACTCGCGTCCTTGTTATCAGAGGAGGCAAGGGTACCCATACCTCTACCTTCCTGTCGTTTTCCCCATATCCCCACATCCCCCTTCTACCCTTCCGTTGAGTTCTCCGAATCCCCACTTCCACTCCTGCGCTCAGAGGAGGCAAAAGGTACCCATACCTCTACCTTGCCGTCGTGTCCCCCAGTCCCCCAGACCCCAAGGAGGCAATAGTACTCGTACATCTACCCTTCCGTCTTTTTCCCCATCTCCCCACCCCCATCCCTGTCCCCAGAGGAGGCAAAAGGTACCCATACCTCTACCATTTCCGTCGTTTTCCCCATGTCCCCTTTTCCATCCCTGTCCGCAGAGGAGGAAAACAGGTACCCATACCTCTACCCTTCCGTCGTTTTCCCCATATCCCCACTCACATGTTTGTTCCTCAGAGACAAAATTATACTCATACCTCTACGCTTCCGCCGTGTTCCCCATATCCCCACTTCCATTCCTGCCCTCAGGGGATGCAACGATATCCATACTTCTGCCCCTCAGTCGTTTTCCCCAATATCCCCACTCCCACCCCTGTCCTGCGAGGAGGTCAAGGTACACATACCTCTACCCTTCCGTCGTTTTCCCCATATCCCCACTTCCATCCTTATCCACAGAGGAGGCAGAACGGTACGCATACCTCTACCCTTCCGTCGTGTTCCCCGTAATCCCACTACCGCCCCTGCCCCCAGAGGAGGCAAAAGGTACCCATACCTCTACCCGTCCGTCGTTTCCCCCAATATCCCCACGTCCATCCCTGCCCTCAGAGGAGGCAAGGAACCCATACCTCTACCCCTCAGTCGTTTTCCCCATATCCCCACCTCCATCCTTGTCTTCAGAGAAGGAAGCAGGTACCCATACCTCTACCCTTTCCGTCGCTGTCCCCGTCTCCTCACTTCCATTTTTGTCCTCAAAGGAGGCAGCGGCACTACCCCATGCTTCTACCATCCCCTCGTTTTCCCCCTATCCCCACCCATCCCTTTCATCAGAGGAGGCAAAAAAGGTACCCCTACCTCTACCTTTCCGCCGTTTTCCCATCTCCGCACTTCCATCCCTGTCCTCGGAGGAGGCACCGGTACCCATACCTCTACCCTTCCGTCGGTTTCCCCATATCCCCACTCCCATCCCTGTCTTCGGAGGAGGCAAAGGTACCCATATGTTTACCATTCCGTCGTTTTCCCCATATCCCCACCCCCATCTTTGTCCTCAGAGGAGTAAGGAGGAACCCATACCTCTACCCTTCCGTCGGTTCCCCCAATATCCCCACTTCCATTCGTCCCTTCAGAAGAAGAAAGAATCGGTACCCATACCTCTACCCTTCCGTCGTGTTTCCCATCTCCCCACTTCCATTTTTGTCTTCAGAGGAGGCAAAGGTACCCATACCTCTACTCTTTCGTCGTTGTCCCCATATCCCCACTCCCATCCCTGCCCCCAGAGGAGGCAAGAGGAACCCATACCTCTACCCCTTCGGTCGTTTTCCCCATATCCCCACTTCCATCCCTGTCTTCAGAAGGGGGCAA